CCCCAACCTCCTACCAGGATACTCTCCTTCCTTCTTGGATCTCATCTTCCCCTCAGATATAAAGATAGGAACAGACATAGAGAAATAGACACAGAGACAGAGAGGGAGACAGACAGAGAGAAAGAGAAGGAAAGACAGAGACAAAGAGGAGAGGGAGACAGAGATGGAGGGAGAGGGCTAGACTAGATGACATTGTTCAAACCCTGTAGAGAGCCATGGCTGAAACCAGATTTTTCAACTAATTGAACCAATCAATTTATTTTCTATCACATGCTGCTGAAAAAGACCTTACTGATATATCTTCTGATAAGCAAGTTGGTAAGAACACCACATTCAGGCAATTCATTAGAATATGTACAGGGAAAGCCTTCTTCAAAGGCTTATTTAAAACATAAATCCATTTGAGTAAACTAAAAATATATTCACTGAACAAGTCTGCTTATTGCATATGAAATGACTGGAATTCACAGGTGGCTACTATTTACAGTCGTTAACTCTAGAGTATACAGCTGTGGAGGCGGAGAAGGCAAATTCGGGACATTTTTATGTTTTACTTGTGAAATGATAGCGTTTTTTTTTACAATGCTCAAGTATTGTTCTGATTTTTAAAAACTGTGATGATTAGAAAAGATCTTATTGAAATAGATCAAACAAAAGGTTGTGAACTGGGGTGGGGTCAACGAAGATGAACATGAGGGTCCGCGGGAGGAAGAATCCCCCCACAGGAGATGATGAGGGTTCCTTCAGGGAGAAGATCTAGGACATTTTGCAAGAAGTAGAGAGAACACACTGGGCAGAAAGATTTCCACGCTCCCTGCCGTGCTCCCAACTCAGAGGGAACTCCTAACACTAAAGTCAGAATGTTCTCAGTGAAGAGAGGAATGTGTTGTCCCAGGGGCGCTTTCAGCTAAAAGATTATTGTGGATACTCTTGCATTCGAGAAGTGTCCACTTCTATCAAAGAGAAAATTGAAGTTTAAAACATATATTTCAGAAATTAGTAAAAATGAAGGCTCCCAACCAAAATCCAACTGACCATCCAGTCTAGTCAGCACCACCCTTACTGCCCCCGGACCCCCGCCCCCTATATAACCATTGTTAGTGATTTGGTACAATTTCATCAATATTCTTTTTCTCTCTCTCTCACGCTCCCTCTCGTATACCCAGATACAAACATCTATATATTTATTTTACAAATGTGGAATTATTAAAACATTAAAGTCTGAAACTTGCTTTTTTTTTCACTTAATACACCAGTGATATCTTTCTAGGACAACACACACAGCTATTTCTCATGGTTTTAAATGGCTGCGTTATATTCCACTTTTAAAACCAGTACTCTCTTACAGATACTTGGTTGGTTTTCATTTATCTCAAAACCTTAGATTTAAAATAATCAACTGTACTGTAAAGCTTTAACACAGTTTTTGACCTCTCGTGACCCACACTATATGATGCATGTATTTTAATTATGTTTTGGAAATTATTTTTAAAGAAGCAATAAACTTTCATTAATAGGATTCAATTCTCAAAGCACCAGGAAGCACAGTGGATGGAGATGGAGAATGGCAGATATATTAATGGAGTCCGGCATATTGCTCTGATCCTAGGGGTCTGTCATCTAGATGGAATTAGGAATCACAGTGAGGCACTATGCTATATCAATCACCCCAAAGACTCATGACAGCTCTAGAGAGGAGAACAAGACATCTTGGCAGGAGTCACATGGCAAGCGATGACATCGCACCTCACCGAGACACTCACTCTCTACTTTGGGCCAGCCCAGCCCACCCCAACTGTCATGCTGGGAGAGACACAGCAAAAACAGAAGCTAGATGATAAATAAAATCAGACTCTTCCAGGCTAAAATGTTGCCCTGTAATGTCCAGAGTGGTCTTTCCAGCCCAATGAGAATGTCACTCTTGGGACAAGGAATGCTGGAGATACTTGGCAAGTTTCCCAGGGTCCCAGAGGAAAACAAAACCTTTTGGGTCCTTTTTACTTATGGTATTAGAGTTTTTGATGTCCACTCTCAGAGAAGGAAATGGAATTATTGGCAGCACTGCTCAAAAAGAGAATGTACTGAACACTCCATTTGTTCAGTAGTGTTTACCAAATACCTAAATTAGTATTTATGTAATTACTGGTTATTTGTCAATCTCCCAATTAAAAGGTAAGTTCCATGAGGGTGGGGACCTTGTCCTTATTCACATCCTTGCACTTTCTCCCATTGAGGGGATAGAGACATTTAAGAAAAAATTAAAAAAGAATAATTTTCATTTTAATCACAATTGCACTAGGTTCTCAAAGAAGAAGAATGGATTTGCTCAAGTCAATGAGGGCTTCTGCAAGGAAGAGAAGATTGAGCTAACATCTGAAAGATGGGCAAGAAAGGTGGGGGCAAAGGAGCTTTGCAAGCAGAGGGAGAAGCCAAGGCCCTGAGGTGGCTGAGCACAGAGCTCTGGAAAAAGAAAGAGAAGGCCAAGGCAGCTGCAGCCTAGAGATCGAGGCTGGCGAAGCGCATGAAGTGAGGCTGGGGACGTAGGAAATAGATGCCACAAAATCCTACAGGCCAAAGAGTTTGGTCTTGATCCTCAATGCAATGAATAGGCATTGAAGAGTTTTAAGCAAAAGAGCAACAAGATCAGAGTTGTCTTGTTAAAAGACGCCTACGTGATCTTGTAAGTGGAGAGTGGATTAGAGGGAGTAAAATAGATGCGGAGAGAACAATTAGGAGGTTGTTGCAGTGACTTATCCAATAGATGATATTAGTTTGGACTAGGATGATAGAGATGAGGAAAAACAGACTAGGATCTGTTTAGGAAAAAAATTCAATAGGATTTGTCATTATTTAAATGAAAGGGATAAGGAAAGACCACATTGAGAATAACTACCTGACTTCTGGATGCTGCTAGAGCAGCTATTCACTGAGAAGGAGGTCCAAGTTTGGTAAGAAAGACAACGAGCTGCATGGATAGTTACAAAAAGCTGAAATCAACATCCACTAACATTGAGTGTTGTGCCAAGCTGGGCCAATGCTGTGCCTTAAATGGATTATCTAACTTAAGCCTAACTGCAATCTTATAAAATAGGTACTATTGCCCCCATTTTTAGAAATGAGCAAACTGAGACTCAGAAAGGCTTTGTAACGCATCGCCATTCTTAGAGCTAAAAGTGGCAGAGCTGGAATTTGAACCCGAATCTCTTCAGTTCTAAAGTAGACGGTTCTTAATGACCAACTCATACTGCTTCGTGACAACTCAGGCCTACTCAGCGCAAATTTCATAATTTCAAAATAACTTGATAGTTAATCTGGAACTCTGAAGCTAAGTCTTCCTTGGAAACCTTCAGTACTTCTCTCAGGGCTGCCCAGAGTAAACTCTCCACATCATGAAGATGACTGTACACCTTCCCCCTTTCTTCACTCCCCACTCAGCTTATTTTCTTTCCCTTGCTTTTTGCCCAAACTTCAAGGTTATGTGCAGTTGCCCTGATCTCCTGAGTTTTGCCTTCTCCAAGTTCCTATAACAGTTTTAAGCTCACCACCCATTTTGGCAATGATCACATGCAAGCTACCCTGCAAGATTTCCACATATTTACTACTTCCTTACATTTATTTTCTCTAATGTGAACTTTCATACAGTACATACTATCTTAAAAAATTCTTCCTGTACTGAAGTCAGATTGTTGTAAACAAGCTAATAAACACAACTTTCAAACTCTGACATACTATGGGACTGGCTGCCAACCAAGAGTTCGGTTTTACCAACGTCATTATCTCTAGCTATAGAGTGCAGTCTCATTATACATGCATCTGACTTAAGCACATTCAACTACATGTTCTTGGCAGAGCAGGAGAGAGAGAGAACTGGCGCAATGTAAATACAGCAGGCCCTTACGCCTGCCATTCCGACCAGTAAGCACTCATCCATCCCATGGGACAGGAGATGAATCTGCTGTTCCCTCAGCTGGTTTCAGTCCCTAAGGACCTTTCCCAGTGTAATTCTCTGGGCAGACTCTGATTTCAGTGTTTAAAGGCACATATTTTAGGTATATCACAATCTCTAATTTTAGTCAACTACTTTCCTTTTCCTCAATTAAAGAAACAGTGACCTATCTCAAGACTAGAGGAAAATCTGGGTCTGCTGAACTGCTCAAGAGACAGTAAGACATTATCCCTGGTATCCTGTGATTTGCACACCACACTTTCTTTTGGGAACTACCCCTAAGATATGACCACAGTGATGGCAGCATATGTTCGTGTAATCAGCTGACTTCTCACTTGCATTCTGCCTTTATTATTGAACACGAATGAGCAGGAATTGGAAAAAGAAAAGTGCTGATACAACTAAAAAACATATATCTCCAACAAATGAGGCAAAGATGGAAATCATTAGGCTTCCTGAAGTCAAACAAGAAGAAAAAGAACAAAATTATGCAACAGGAATGAAATGCCATCCTTGGGTCCAAAAAAACAAACAATTATTGGGGATTTTATAATCATCTTTAACTTTCTGGAAGAGTCTCCACAGTCACATGCACATACCTAAATATATGTATACAATTATGATGCGGATACATTTTCAGAAGGTCATGTTCAAATACAGAACACTATCATTCTGAACCACCCCTGCTGCCTGCTGGGCAGATACATTAATTCTTGCCACTCAGCTCCCTCAGATTTTTGTTCATGCCACCAGTATAAAATTTAGAGCTCTACAGTAAACTTGATTGCTGGTACATGTCACTATCCAGATTGTAAACTCTTTGCAGGCAGGTTCTAGGCCTTACTAATCTCTGTCTGCAGGACCTTAGAGGGTACCTCACTACAAAGGCGCCCTCTGCAAAGACTGGAGAGTGAATGAATAAGTCGATAACCAGATTTACCTCTCTGAGGTTCATTTCTTCCAATGAATTAGAGAAGAAAGAAAGAGGGGCCCATAGCTGTCGGGTCGTTGTCTCCAGCATGGATCTCCACTATGCACATTTCTCTGCCCTTACCTATCCAGAGAAATGCAGCACAGGTGAAAAATCGATGCCGTTGTGAGCAGGACGTCTAGAGATGTCCGGACGAGGCAAAACATCTCCCCGTAAATCCAAATGTCTTGAACCAGCTCGATGGCACCAAAGGGCATCACCAGCGCCGAAACCAGCAGATCCGCAAAGGCAAGAGATACAATGAAATAATTGGTTTTTATTTTCCTGTGAGTGAAAGTATAAGGGAGGAGGCAGAGGGGGATGAAGGAAGGAGGTTAGAAAGAAGCAAGAGAGAAAAAAGGAGGAAAAGGAAATAAAGAAAGAAGGAAAGAAGGGAGAGAGAAGAAGGAAAGAAAAGTCAATGTGTAACGGATTCTGCGAGTATCCCCTCTGTATCAAGGCTGGAAAGACACTGCATGGTCCAGCCACTTCTGACTTCTCCAGACCCCCCTTGCACCAAAAGCCCTCTCTTCCTCTCCCCTCTGGCCACGCTGGCCTGATTTGAGCCACGCCCCCTACCCATGCCCTCTGAGGGCTTGGCACAGGGTGCTCTCTCTTCCTACTATTGGCCTAGCTGTGCCCCACTCGCCTTCCGGCCTCCATCTGCTCATTCTCAGGGAACTCTCCCAAGGTACCCCCTCACAAACGATGTCAATTCCACCCTTTTCCTCTCATAGACTGACAAGTGTGCCTCACATTCGTGACACCTGTCAGAACTGCACTTTTACGCTTTCTTTGCATCATCCCTGGATTAGTGCATGTCTTGCTTAGAGAGGAAGGCTGGCGATGAGGACAGACTGCATCTTTTGTCCCTTTTTATGGCCTGGTGGCTCTCAATCCAGGCTGCACGCTAGAATCATCTGGTGGATTTTTATAAATACTGATCAATTAGTTCAGGGATTTTGGGTGATGAACACACCTACCCACCCCCCAGGGTTGCCAGATAAAATACAGGACTGTCAGGTAAATTTGAATTTCAGATAAACAGTGAACAATTATTTACTATAAGTATGTCCCAAATATTGCATAAGACATATACCACACATTAGCAATTTTTCAAAGGTCTTCAGGTGATTCTAATTGCAACCAGGGTTGAGACGGATGAAGTGGAAAGAGCAGAAAACCCAGGTTTAAATTCTAGATCAGCCACTAGTCAGCCACCCCTTCTGTGAACCAACGATAAACTGGGGAGGTTAGATTAGATGTGATCTCAACAATTGTATCTGCAGTCACCACAACTATTAAAAACCAACAAAGCTGAATGTAGGAAAAAAAAGGGATGGAAATACACTTAATGTTTATCCTGGTTATGTTAGAGTTGTGGGATTAGGTGTGATCTTTTTTAACCTGCTCTATTTTCCAAACATTGTCCCCAGGTATTTTTTTCCTTTCATAATTACAAATTATAATGGAAATTATACGTTCAGACCCCAAATCTCCAGGGAGAGCCCAGAATTCCCCCCAGGTTTCCCCTGAGGTCCCCTCATGCCACCCACCTCAGCTGCCTGTCCCTGCACACAGCCACCATCACCAGCAGGTTCCCCAAGATGGCCATCAGGATAACTGCCGAGAGAAACGTGAGCAGCACGACCTTCTCCACTGACCCGAAACCCTCCTTGGAACTGGAAGACACACACACACACACACACACACACACACAAACAAAGAAGTGAAGGAAACTCTGAGACATGGGAAAGAAAATTAATCTTTTCCTCATTCATCTTCAGGAAGGAAACTTCACCATCAGCAGCTATAACACACATTTATTGTACACCAATTGTGCCAATGTCTGCACGTGTTACTTTACATGTTATCCTAGTTAACACTCCTACATAATGAGCAGGAGAAGGCTCAGAGAGGTGAATTAACTACCCTGAGAATGCACACTTAATCTCTGTCAGAGAACTTGGAGCTTTCCTTCAGACCACTTCCTCAGCTTGTGCTCAGAAATGTATTTGGTTGATTTCTGTTTTCTGCACCTACCCAGTGAAGTTGTAAGCTCCATGAGGCAGGGACCTCATTAGTTTTATCCATTGATAAATTCAATTTCAATGTGTCAATCACATGTATCAGATGAAGGAAAGGTGGTGTTGGATGAATGAATGATGGTAACCTGAACCAGGGTCTGCGTGAACACAAAAGCCACCCTGTCTTCAGTACCCGATCCCAGCCCTTGAAGAAGCTGCTGTGTACAGGTGGGCTCTCCCGGGACAGCTCATGGCTTGAAGAGCGTTCTTCTATAGCTGACGTGGCCAAATTGGTCTCAGATTCCGTGAAGTCCATTGGAAAGACAGCAGCCAATCAATAAACTTAGGACCTCCTTTCACTGCCCTGAACCACATTTCTTTTGGTGCCCAACATAACAGTTCAAATTTGTGTTCTTTTCAATTTTAGCATCTGATACAATTCTATAAACCCTGCCCTCTTAGTGTAAATCATTTTGTTTTATTAACTTAGAAGCAAGTGTCCCCTGTCAATAAAAGCATATCTGCAGGTTATTCAGAAACTACAGGAAAAAGTTTTATTTTTTTATTAGAGCAATAAAGTGTTCTTTTTAAATGAAGTTTCAAAGGATCTTAAAATTCTCAGACCCAAACCCCACATTTCAATACAGGGAAACTGAGGCCCAGAGAGGAAACGGAGTTGTCAGAGTATATTAATGGCTGGTCTGGGAGAGGCTGCTTGTCCTGTAAGCCCACCCCTGGGAACGCAGGGTCCCAAGAATCAAGAAATATCTGACTTTACTAAGCTCCTCGGACTGAAAACCAAGATGGCTGTCGGCCCCAAATGACACCTGCCCGCCAAGCCCTGGCTCCGGCCTTGTCTGCTTCCATTATGCCTGGCATGAAAGACAAGGTGCCAATTGGAATAAGGAACCAGTATTACAATGGCTGTAAAATCAAAAAGTCCCTTCATTCTGCTGACCGGTATTTTTATTGACTGATTAATTGACTGAAATCTTTATGGCTAGGGATCAGATGAAAAGAAATTCAAGGTATGTGTATTTAAACCACCCTTCCACACCTAAATTCCAGCTATCAACAGTACAAATATAGGACAAGGAAGATTTAATTCAGTGAGGAAAAAGACCTTAATAGGGTAATGTGGCTACCCAAAACTAATTTGGTGTTAGGCCATGTTAATTGAGGTAAAGGGTCTAACAAAGAAGTGACAGTGGTTTTTTCCTTGTCCTTCTCAGAGGCTTCGACTTAAGAGCCCCTCTGAAACTTGTTCACCCCTTAAGCCGTCTGTACTTACTGTACCTTCTTCCTGGAATGCTTCTTCTCATCATTCAGGTCTCAGATTAAAGTCAACCCCTGTTTAATGCCAACAACCAGCCAACAAACAGTGTTCAGTTTCTTTATAGCATTTATTGTTACCAGAAATGACTTCTGTTATTGCTTCTTGTCTGTGCCCCAGCCCCACAGATTTACTTTGGTTATCTTTTTCACCACAGTTTCCAGTGCCATGCATTGTCTAGTCTACTGTATGTGAGTGTACAGGCATGTGTAGTATATAGGAAGTGCTCAATTATTTGCTGATTGAGTGAAAAAAAAGACATATTGTCTTCATAAGGGTGAGGTTTACACTTCCATGTCTTTGAGGACTGGTTGAAGGTACAGAGAAGATTTTACCTAGAGAAGAGAAGACTCTGTATGAGACATAAATGCTATTTTTAACCATCTGAAGGGTTGTCCTTTGAAATAAGAGTAAATTGACACATTCATTCATTCAGCAATAGTTTCTGAGCACCTACGCTGCATTGGGCATTGTTCTATGTCCCAGGAAGCAGAAATACACAAAAGAGAGAGCTGGCGATGAATAAACAAGAAAATATGTAAAGTGTCAGCTGGTAATTCACACTATGGTAAAAAATCTAAGAGGAAAGGGAGGACAGTGCTGCCAGTGGGGGCTGAAGGGCTGTCAGAGGAGGCTCAGTGATAGGGTTCTCACACTTTATGCCCTGCACGTTGCATAACTAGGTGGGACCAGTGAGCATGCTTTAAGCAGTGGTTCTCAACTTTGGCTGCATATTGAAATCACCTGAGGAGCCTTAGAAAATGCTGATGCTAGGACCCTGCTCTCAAAGATGCTGTTAGTCTGGATTGTAGCCTGAATTTTGGAGTTTTTTAAAGCTCCCAAGGGATTCTGATGTGCAACCAAGGAAGAGAATCACTGCTAGAGGGAGGCAAGATTTAGTAATGGATAATAAGAACTTTCTAACAACTAAGGATGATCCGTAATAGCTGCCTGGTATTGTTTTGAGCTCCCTGGCTCAGGACGTGTTTAAGAATACCTAGACATCAGTGAGATACGACTTCACACCCATTAGGATGGTTATTAGCAAGACAAAACAAAAACTAAAAATAACATGTGTTGGTGAGAATGTGGAGAAACTGGAACCTTTGTGCATTACTGGTGGAAATGTAAAACGGTGCAGCTGCTGCAGAAAACAGTTTGGTAGTTTCTCAAAAGGCTAAATATTGAATGACCATATGATCCAGCAATTCTAGTCCTAGGTATATACCCCAAAGAATTGAAATCAGGGACATGAATAGATACACATACACCAATGTTCATAGCAGCATTATTCACAATAGCCCAAAGGTGGAAACAACCCAAGTGTCCACCAACAGCTAAACAGATAAACAGGATGGGGCATATACCAACTGTGGAATTTTATTCAGTCATAAAAATGAATGAAGTTCTAATACTTGCTACAACATGGATAAACCTTGAAAACGTTATGCTACGTGAAATAAACTAGACACAAAAAGACAAATATTGTATGATTCCACTTACATGAGAAGCCTGTAATGGGCAAATTCATAGAGAAAGAAAGCAGAATAGTGGTTACCAGGGGTTGGGGAAGAGGGGAAGGGGAAATTAATTTCTATGAGTAAAGAGTTTCTGTTTGGGGTGACGAAAAATTTCTGGAAGTGGATAGTGGTGATGGTTGCACACCATTGTGAATATACTTATTGTCACTGAATTGTACATTTAAAATGGTTATTTTGTGTATTAACGGTAAATTTTATGTTATGTATATTTTATCACAATAAAAAAAGAACACATGGATGACCATATATCAGGATACTATATAGGGCTCCTGTATTGGAGGCAGGTAGGACTGGCTGATTTTAGGTCCCCTTCTTGTCTGTGGACAATGATCTGAACATATCCTTAGAATGCAGATTGTCCGCCAACCACACCCTCGCCATTAGAGCCGTCTCCCCTGCACTGCCTTTCCTCTCATGGGAGAAAAAAACGATTCACAGTCTGTGCTGAACGTCCCTGGCTCCAGAGAACGTATATTTCAAATCAAGTAGGAATGTCAGGTCAGAGAACCCCAAGTTCAATGTTATGGTTCATTTGTGCCATGCTCATTAGGAGGTAGAAATAGTTAAACTTTAAACCGTGAGTGACAAGCAAAATTTCACCATAGAAGGAGCTTTTTTAATTAGGCAGAATTGTCCACTGAACTAAATATTAAGTCCAGTAATGATAATTAAAGTAAATTAGGAACCACTTTTGCAAAATCCCTGTTAGTTAGATCCTTGGGTCACTTCTGACACTCTCCAAGAATACTGTCAACCACTATCAGACAGTTCGCATCTGGCCAAAGAGCTGTCCACTCCACTAAATCAGTTCTTTGACAGTTATTCTTACGAGAAATTTTACTTTCTCTTCTTTTTTGCTTTTACAATGATCTCTTGATCCATTAATAAAGAAACTCCGCAAACTTGCTGGCTCTGTTTACTATTTTCTCTGTTCTGAAAAGAAAACCTGTGACAATAATTCTGCACAAATTTCTACATAGATTAGTGTATGTGAAGGTGGATCATAAATTACAAAGTATAATATAAATAAGTAATCATTATTAATATGAGAAGCACATACGGAGACAATAGCTAAGGAAGTTTTAGGTTATACTTTGTTATGTCATCCAGAACAATTGGTTTCAAGGTCACACACACACACACACACAATACACTTTCTTAGGAGTCAAGAATACTTTTTTCTTTTTTTGCACTGACCTTGTCAATAACAACTGCGTAACCTCAAAAAAAGTCGCTTGCCTTCTCTGAGCTTAGTTTCTTCAGGGATCAATTGAGGAAGTTAGATTAAATCTCTCATTTATCAAATCTGTATTGATTGCCAACCATACGCCACGAGCTGTGCTCAGTAGTGGGATACAAGAGTCAAGAAGGTAGACACAGCCCCCACCTTCATGAAGTTCACACTGCTGACGGAAACAGACGATAAGCAAGTACACAACTAAAGAAATAAAGAAATACAGTTTGTGATCAGTGCTTCCAAGTCACAGTCTCAAACTTTAATATTCATATGAATCTACTGGGGATATTGTTACAATGCAGAATCTGCTTCTTTTGGTCTGAGGTGGGGTCTGGAGTTCTGCATTTCTCACCAGCCTGTAGGCTCAAGAAGAGCCTCAGTGATGCTCATGCTGCTGGTTCATGAGTCCACTCAAGATAGTAAGACTATCAAGGGCATCCACATGCTGGTGTGATAGAGAACCACTGGGTTAGAGGGAAGCTTTAGGTAATCAGGGAACACTGGAGGTGACATTTAGCTGAATTCTGATATATGTGGAGGATCCATGAGTTAGAGGAACCAGGAGAAGGGCAAGTGCAAAGCCCTGAGACGGGAAAGTCTCTTGCATTCACTATTGGAGGGGAATGAGCAAAGGATAAAGAATCTGAGATGAGCTTCAAAAAGCAGTCAGGTGCCAGATCCTGAGGGTTTTGTCTGCACTGGTGAGAAGTTGTTTTATTAGACAACAAACGATAATACAGTGAAGTGACTTAAGCAGAAAAGTGACATTGGGGATGTAAATGTGAGAGAAAGTAAGTAAACTCAACAGCGGCCCTTGTCAGAGTCCAGGTAAGAGAAGACAGTGGCTTAGAGTAGGGTGGTAGCCCTGGAGATAGAGAGAAGTGAGTGGAATAAAAGTATACTTGGGAAGTAAAGGGATAGGTAAGAAAGACAAATTCTATGGGTGGATAGAAAGAAGCGGAAATGAAAATTATTATTCTGATTTGCTTATCTGAGTAAATGTTGGTACAATTTAATGAGACTGAAAACATGTTAAGTGTGAGATATGGATAAAACATTCAAGTGGAGATGTCAAGCAGGCAATTAGATACTCATGTCTGGAGCTCAGAAAGGATGACTGGGCCAGAGCTACACACTTGGGATTTCCAGCATTTAGATTTAGAACCTTGGGGAGAGAGGCAATCACCCAAGAAGAGGGCCAGGGT